AGTGTATTTAATTTAAATATCAAGCGTTGTGGTAATATTTAATTGAAATATTTAATATAATTAAAAATATATTTTTTATAATATAAATATATTTTTATACAACAGAATATGCAAAATTCGAATTTCTGTATATCAGAATTTCTCAAATTTGCTTTAATTTTTCTTTTTCTTCACTTTGAAGGCATTAGCCTCTATAATTGAAATTTTCAGACTCTAATATTTCATAAGAATTCTTGATATTATTTACCGCTACAAATCAAAGTTTTTAAAATTCTATCCAAACAAATCAAATCCTTTGTCCGGTTGGAATCTTCAGTTGTGTTTACATAAAAATAAAAACAATAATATTCAGCCATTAACAGAAGAGACTTACACTTCATTTTGGAATCAAATTATGGAAGCTTTTATGGGTATTATGGAAGCTTTTATGGGTATTAATCCCCTTAAAAACCATTGTAAAAAAGTTTTCAAAATCTTATTTTTTATGGTACATCACTTAGTAAACGATTCCTTCAGTTGTTATCAAGAATAATTACAATTAAACAGTGAAAACTATTCAAACTGTACACAATCACTGTATCTTGATAAAACCATGATATTACAGTTAGAATCTAGTATTAGAACGATAAATATTTCTAAGCCATGTATCAATTTTCTCTACACTGAATTCCAAGACACAGGATACATCCTGCTTTAAGAACACTTTAGTACATATAAAAGAAATGGGCGTGGTGCTAACATAACATAACATATTACCACAAAATAATGTTTATGATAATATTAAATAATTATGTTATATGAGAAGGGAAAGAGCAACGATATGTTAATTGTGGAAAGTAATATCTGCTTTATAATTGCACAGTCTATATAGAATGTGGATTGAATATGCTAGGGCAGCAGTGGCGAACCCATTCACAAACGCGCTTCAAATATTTAAATTGTTCTATTGTGTAAATTTTAATTTGCGGAGATGTGAGTTTTCATAAAAGTTATTAAACAAAAATGTCATTATTTGTATCGGTAACGGTCTAATTATAAGGATAGTGTGTATGTCACAGAAATTTTTATTTCAGCGATGGCAACAGTTTTGTCATTCATTCGATAGAGAATTTCGTTTAAAAAAATTATAATCAGTAACGAAAAATCCTTAAAAAAGATTCTTGAGCTTCAAAAAGATATCTTAAAATTATTTTAACTCTATTTTTTGTGTCAACCATAGACAGTAGATAATTGTCTATAATGGACACTTACACGGAATAGAAATAAAAAAGACCTAACCAACTTTACAACTTTTTATGTGATATATTTGTCATTACAAATACTCAATATTTTATTACTTATAAACAAATTCCTTTCAAAATTAAAATATTTTTAAAGCCATATAGTAATTTCAAATGTTATAGTCTAGTTTCGATGTAATATGAAATAAATCTTCTCATGTTTTAAGAATCACAAATCAGTATATTGTTTTTGTATAATTATATATAACTTTATTTTCTATTCAAGTCTGATTAGTCAGACATTATTTTCGTTTTTTACAAAATATTTTCTACCAACCTTTAGTTTCTAATCAGATTTTTGAAGAATAGTTTGTCTAGAATGGCGATAGATTTTCAGTTCTTCAATAGTATCGTGATAATTATATAGTTGTGTTATCAAACTTGCGTTATAAGAACTTAGATATGAAGTATGCTTTAGGGTTTGGTTCGCAGAAAAGGTAATGAAATCTTGGATACAGTACGAGAATACTACGAGACTTTGAGAAGACTTATAAAGAGTATATATATGTTATATTAAAGTGTCTACAAAGTCATATAAACTCTCGAATCGTTTGGGTTTTATAAACATAGAATAGGTACTCTTCTTCACAAGCTTGTTAATTGATTCGGTACCATTAAATGCTTTATGTGCAGATATTTATATTCGTTCTAGATATAAAATTTCGGTGGGTTCAAAAATTAAGATATATAGAATACCAAATACTTATTTTAGTTAATTTCAGGTGTTTATATTTACATGATTTATAATGTAAATATAAAAAATACTTAATAGAATATAACTAAATAAATTTTCGTACAAAAGAGAAAAATCTTATGAAAGATATCTATTATGGAACATTACGTATCATTACAAAAAAGTATCATTATATTTATAAAATTTTAAGAATATATATAATGCTGCATGTTTGACCATTTTATAATAAAAATTAATAATTAATTATAATTATGTATTCTTTAAAGATTTCTTAAATTATATTAAAATTACCTACACTCATTTACTCATTATATCCCACCATATATATTGTACAAGGTTATCTCTTCTTATATGCTTAGTAGTTGGCAGTATAAATAAGTAAATACATAATTACAAAATTTAATTCTTTACTACTAGTAGACTTCGTCGAGTAATTAATAAAATAAAATGTTATTTTCTCGGCAGTTTTATTGTTGAATTATAAGCAATTACATATATTTGGTTAAGCATTGTTTTTATTTTAAAAAAAAGTTACGCGTATTGTGTTCATGATCATATAACACATGCAATTTAGCTAAATATTTACCCTATTAATTTTTTAAGTTGCTTTTCTAAAAGGCCTAGCATGTATTTACAGAACTAACGTTACTGCTTAGGATTTTTTTTAATTAGTGACGCATTCTAAACTTGAGCTATTAAATCGGGAAGAATAGAATTTATAAGATCTTGATCAAGTGAGTCAAGAAAAATAACACTCATTGGACTGGAAGATCGATCTGATAAGAGCTGGCACTCTCTTCCATTTAGAAATTTTAAAAATTTTGTTTTGTTACTGCAAAGTTTATAATACCTTATGTATATTAGTGCTTAAAAGTGTACGAACATTACAATGATATATTTTGGATGGCACTTTATTTGAAGTGTATTAGTTTACATAATTAAAGATAATTACTTTTCTTAATAAAAATGATTAAATTTTCAATTAGTAAGTTTTTGGGCCAACCGTGCAGCTATTTTGGATACTGCCACATATCTGCCATATCGTCCTTAAAAAAATAAATTTGGTTAATTTTTTCCAAAGATGATCTGATGATTATTGTACGAAGTTTTTTCAAAGATAATGTATGATTTACTGGATCTATTTTGTACAAAAACCACAGACGACTTATTTGGCACTATTAGTAACAGCTGCATGGTTAGACTACGGATTAACTTGATTCAAAATCAAATATTCTTGGATATCATAGTTTTCACACCAATAAGTCTTTAAAAATACTTATTTAATATGTTATTATATTAAATGTATATAAACTATTTATACACATATATTAAACAATTATATTATAATTATTTGATACTATAGCAAAAAAAAAGATTTATTGTAGTTGTAAAAAATACTAATTAGAGGTGTTTAATGCAATTTTTCACTTACTAAAATAAAATCTAAAAATCATTATAATAACTGAGCAATTAGAATATATTATTATCTAATTAATAATTACTAGAAAAAACTGATTAATTTATCTAAATATATTTAAAATGGAAAAACGTTTTAAATTAAACGTTAAAAAGTAATATATATATTTATAAATTTTATTTAAAGGCTACTACCAAAACTATTAATCAATAAAAATATACTGCCAACTGAGCAAATTCTCATTATTTCATACCCAATTTCTCTAAGTTTAAAGTACCCCGTTTACCTTATATCGCATATAACTATAATATTAATATAGTAAAAAAAATTAAATTAGTAAGTCTATACTCTTTACTAAGTAATATTTTTTTTTACATTATATAGAACAATTAGCTTGGTGGCAACGTTGGGATAAGACGACACTAATCATTATATTGGTTTCGATATTTGCTCTACTCTTAGCCGTTGTCATCATTTGCTGCATAATCATATGCATATGCCGACGCCGAAGACGTCAGGATAAATGTAAGTACACCTATTTTGTAATATAATGTGAACTATTCCACACAAATATATATAAGACCCAAAGTATTTGGTAAAATTAGAATAATTATAAAGCTATTATCAAAATATTTTAGATTATTATTTCAAAGTTAGGTTTATTATTTAATTTTTTTTTGGAATCCTTACGAAAAAAAAATTTACTTTTTAAGTTTTTTACTCAAGCCATAAATTTTAATTTTCTGTTAGTGACCTGCAGTTTATTTTCACTTGATATTAAATAATTTTATTTAAATTTATATTTTCATTAATGATTTATTTTTTTTAAGCATGCAAATAATAAAGTTTATTTATTTATTATTTAATTTTTTAAATAATTTTAAAGCACGCTTTTTACAATGTACTTCGCTGCAATTGAGACTGCAATTCAAATGAATGAAAATGCATGTGCCAATCCTATTAAATGCATTTATTCTGTTAAGCATTTGCCTGCTTGCTACTTGTATACTATATTAAGCTGCTGCCCTTTTAATTTGAATAATTAAAAAATTAAAATTTCAATAACTGAATTACTTCAAAAATCAACTTAATATTTTTTAACTTTTAAGTGCAGAAAAAACCGAATCAAATTTTAAGTGTCATTTAAAGGACTCTTGCATAAATTTTAATTAAAATTTGACAAGTACTGCAAAAGCTTATACATAAAATAATATAATTTTATGTGTTTTGCAGTGCACTTTAGCACATGATACAAAAATTAATATTATAAATTGCCTTTCTTTGAAAAAATAAATTCGATTAAATTCGTTCAATTCCATAGCAAAAAACTACAACAAATTGTACACAAAATTCTACACTAAATGGCAAAATAATATTACATAAAATAACATTTAAATTAATTTATATTCAACTGTTTGTTTATTTTTTTCACGAATCCAATTAATTTAAAACTTACCCAAACGTATAATATTTAAGTAAAAAAACTCTATTAAAATGTATGCAAAAAATATAAAACGACGCCTAAAAGCATGCTGCATTATTACTAATTTGTCTGCATACTCAAAAAATAAACTGTAATTTCACTTAAAATAATATTAGTTATTTTCATTATATACATATACTAAAAAAAAACGAAATAAATAATAAACAGAATAAAATGTTTTTGTGTAGTGGGTGTGGCTATACTGTTCTAGCACAGACAGGACATATAAATGCGATTTTTGTAATAAAGACATATGCGCTGCCACATACTCATTCCAACTGCATTTGTTCGAACTAAACCTTTATTTTGTAAATATTTGTAATATTCTTAACTAAATAAAATGTTTTTTTTTTTCTATTTTTATATATTTAACAAAATTTCGCATATTTATATTGCAACCGTATTAAATGCTTTTAATGTGCGCTTCATCAATGCAATTTGCAACAACCAAAATACAAAACCAACTTCAACATCAACTAACCAATACACATCAACATAACAACACAACAACACAACAAATCACACACATACACACCGACAAATCAACAAATTTGAAACTACAAACTCAATTGATAAATACTTTTGGCTTCGAATCAAATTGATTGATAAACAAAAACTTTGAACAAAACCTGAAAAAAATGTTCATAAAAATTCAATTAAAATGGTAAAATGAATACACTTAACCCAAACATTACAACACAAATGCTTTGCAAAAAACTTATTGAAAAAAAATTTTACAATAAAAAAAAAAAAACAATAAAATGACTTCCAAAAAAACAACAAACAATTTAAATTTAACACATTTATTACAAAAATAATCGAAAATACTTTAACAAAAATTGCTGCTTTTAATTATTTGCTAATTTGTTTAAAAAAAAAATTGTTGCTTTAATGCCTGCCAACGTTTTTTGCTAAATTTTTTAATGTTTCGTAAAAATAATTTGGAATACAATTAAAATTATTTAAAACAACAACGATAAATATCAATATCGATATCGTAAAACAAAAAAAAATTTGAAAAAAATTGATATCGAAATGAATTTAACATCTGACATTATGAAAAATGCTTTCAAAACACATACAAACATATTCGCTGGTAACATACTCACACATACATATTCTTCATGTACGTTTACAAACATAAAACGTCCGCCATTCCGCCATTTTAAATTTTATATTGAAGATCACACGGATATAACCATTAGCGCTACACAAAGGTAAGCACTTCAATTCACTTTTCTCATATGAATAAATTTAATAAAAGAATTGATAATTCATTATTGTATTTATTATTGTATCTTAAAACTAATAAGCTAAAGACGTCTTAATATCTAAAAAACATTTTTTTTTAATAATTTGTTTTTATATATCAACTTTTTCTTTGAGTGTATATTAAATGTATCTCAATAGAATCACAACACATTATTTGAGCAACTGTATGTTGTTGTTGTGATTTGAGTTAGTGCTATTGCACACTTTTACTCTATTGTGGCTGGGGTGCTTATCCCTACCCCACACTAAACTTTAGCTATACTAGAAACAATATCGTTTATTTATTATCTAACTGATGACGGACCGTAGATCGGCATATCTTTCTGTGCGTCCTTAGGTGGACTTAAGGTTTGTTAGAGCGGGGTTAGGCAACGTATCAACTTTTGTAAATAATTTTAGGGCTCTATCCTTGATATACTTCTCACTGAGTCGATTCTTAGATCTCTATGCATGTCTGTTGTTCTAATATACCAAAGTCTTCTTTACGGTAGTATTTGAGGCTTTGCTGTATCAATACAATGAATGAGTGAATGAAGAATTGATTTTAATCAAATGACTTCAACTAGTCAGCTTTATGGCTGAGATAATCGTTTTTTAACTCGGTTAAGAAAATTACTTAATATAAGAATGCATGAACTATTAAGCCATCATAAGTAAATTATAAAACTGGATAATGCAATATTAGCGACTTAGCGAAATTCATAGAACTGTCAGGTAGCTCTACCTTCACCTCATGGAGTCTTTACCTTTTTAAGCGCTGAACTATGTACGAATTAACGCTATTCCTGTGATACCACAAACTTCTAAAGGCTAAGAAATAAGATTAGATATAATATATTATTAACTTTTCTGCATTAAAAGTTTTGTCACGCTTTTATTGTACAGAAATTGTTTATATTATAGCTAAATAGTCATGAACTATTTATAAAAAGTAGTAAAGTTAGAAGGGTTCGAATAGTAATTAAACAAAAACCAAAAATTTTTTTAAATAATTCATTGAAATTTGGTTGATCATACAACCTTAATCGAATAACGCTATATCGAGTATGAGTACTTCATCATCAGTATCTGGCGATACTCGAAACAGCGTTGCATGGTCATCTTAATTTCAATAAATTAATTAAAAGTTTTTGTTTTTGTTGTTTTATTAGTGTGCGAACCCTTCTAACTTAAAAATAGTTTATTTTCGTCATAAGGCGAGTCATATTTGACTATAAACATTAACATTTAATATAATTAGTTTAAAATAGTTTCGAAAAAGTTTTGTTTAAACTCAAATAAAATCAATTTCCTTGATATATGACAGTTTCTAACTTCATAAGCTAATAATAACAATTCAGTCATTAAAGTGAGAAAGAAAATTGAATATTATTTATTTCGATAAATAAAGTAGAAGGTTTAAGAGATACTTCTACATAGCAGTAGAAATTTTTATAAAATGTTATCAAATTAAAATTTAAATATATATGCACAAATGAAAAGTCTTTCGAGCATGAAGAAAAGAGATTCAAGTAATATTGTATTCAAATTATATTACAAGTTTTAAATTCCTGTCAAAACAAATCTCAAGAGATACTTCTATTTTATTTTCCTCTTCTCCCAGTGGAGCATAGGGCTTCCACCTTTTCTGGCAGGTACCCCAATACGACTGCTACTTCCCTAGGGGTACCATCTGAATGCTTGACGAACAATGTTGTCAGACCTAAGAGAAGCATTCTTAAAAAACAACTTCAAATTGTACGCAAATAGTAATACTTGCAATAATATAAAACTCTTTGGCTTCATACCTATTTTATAGTTTAATATTTACCATGGATCTCCATATGGAGAAAAAATTTTGAAGAATATTGTGAGCTCGAAATGTAATTTAAAACGCAGGCTTCTCCTCTGTTGCTGTGCGGTACATCATTTTGTTTAACGGCGTAGAATACCTTGAGGCGTGCACTTCCACTCATCAAAATGTTAGATTACCAATGGGTTTTTTAAAATGACATTCAGTTTACAAAACTGCAGGTTCTATTACAACATGCAATAATTTAAGAAAGATTTAATTATTTTGTGATTTTGCTAAATTTAATAAAAGCCACTGTCTTTACTTAAATATAATGAAATCATACTATTATGTACCACATTATGTCCCATTCTTCCCGCAAATACTTCCGCTTACTGACAGTTTTGCTATATTTTCTTATAGTTCAAGTCATGAAAGATTACTAACTTTTAGATTTTCAAAGGCTATAATGATAGCCCTTTCGGGCTTCCACTTAAATGTAGTGGTAGCATACTTTTATCCTTGAGTTCCATAGGGGTCCAAATCAATCCGAGAAATTTTGATAACATATTAAAGTTAATGGGTATTAATATAGCTATATGGCTTGCATTCACGCCATATATCAGACTAGCATACATGAACTCAATTCCTATTAAGGAATAATGCAATGAAAGTAATTATTTTAAGTTGCAAAGAATGCATATTGCAGCGAAATATCTCCGACGTTTGCTGAGAACTTATTGTTTTATGAATAGACCTGCTTTAAAAAGTTGAGGGCAAAGAGTTGAATATTTATAATAAATTATGAGAAAAATACAGTGTTTTATCTCATCGGTATTAACTAAAAATGTAGTTGCTATTCTGTTAGCAACCTTTACGAATTTTCAGAAACTCATATAATTCGATTCTATTGAGATCATAATATATAAGTGTTAATTTATATTAATGTTGAATATAATATTATTTATTTAATAATAGCATGCTAAAGTGAATAACAATTTTTAATTTATAATTATATAGTATATAACACAACTAATTTTAATTTATTTTTTTTTTTTTTGAATATTTTTCGTTGCATATGCACTTTAATAATATGTGTGTCTGTGTGTTTTGTAATTGTTGTTGCTTGTTATTTTGCTTTTTACACAAAAAACAAACACGAAACCAACAAAATAACACCATCCTCACCGTTATTTGAATATCCTCACTAAATGCCAACAAATTAATTAAAATAAATATTGGCTCAGCGTGCTTTCATATCAGCCGACAGTGCCACAAGTGGGTGTGGCCGTGCCAGTACCAATACAAGAAGTCAAATTACAGCCAACTAATCCTCCGTCAACATCACTATTAGCACCACAATTGCCTGAGCAAAAATTAATTGTTTCACCCACAAAACTCACTAATCCCACAAATAACAGCACAACCAATACCAACACAACTACGCCCGCCACCACACCCAACTTAAACGTTAAACATAGTCAGGCGCCCAAGTCGCCACCACGTTGGCCGCTACGTCCCGGTGTTATGGTGCACGTCAGCAGTGACACAAAAGAAAATTTAGCGGTCAATCGCATGACACTGAAACCCAACACAACATCAGCATTAGCATTCCAGCATGTGAATGATAGCACACTGTCATCATCTTTGTTCAATGCTTCATCATCTACCTCCATACTTAATAATACACCAAGCACAGCACAAACTTCGCTGCAAAATGCATCCACACAAACGCAAACAGCAACGCTGGGACGCATAAATACAAGAAGTAGAAGTGTGGATCGCAGTGTTGGTGGCACACAAAATAGTGCATGTCAGACGTTGCCGCATAGAACCTCACCACCAAAGAATATAAGCGGTATAGTTAATACAAGTAATCAAATTTTAACAGTTGGTAATATGCAGCGTGCTGCTGCTGAGGAGAGGCTGCATTTGACAGTATCACCAACGCCTTTAACAGCTGCTGTATCGAGAAGAAGTACAGTTCTGCCAACCACAATAGCAACAACAGCAACCACAAGTGAATCGACGCCTTTTAGTACGCAACAAAGTGAGACTGTTGGCGCAAGAACCAACACAGACGAAATACAAGCTGACACTCTGCCAGAAATTGAATCGGAAACTATCGTTCAAGCACCAAATAAGTCCACCAAAGTCACACAAAGCAATTTACAGCGAGTGGAAACGTTTTTTGTCAATATTTTCAGACGCACAAAGCGCACGGATACAACGCGCGACAGTCAACGTAGTCATGTGGGCTTATTAGGCGGTGTCCTTAGTGGCGCTAAAGTCTTCTGGAAACGCAACGAAAGCGATGACAATTCACCATTCTCCGCACAACATCGCCTCAAAGGCATACGTAGCAGTGGCAGCGGTAAATAGTTTTTGTTCATTTTTGTTTTGTGATTTTCCACACTTAATTTTGCATTATTTTAATTTAATATTATTTTTCGTTTTTATATTATTTCAATTTGTGTTTTTAATATTTTGCCTTAACATTGATGTAGTCACTTATAAAAAGACGCCTGTACTCACGCAACACAACGCTAACGATAATGTAAATAATAATAATGACACGCCTCTAAATGCTAGTAGTAATGAAAAAAGTAATGCTATTATTAACACCAATACCGCCTCAGTGCCAACGGAAATTGCAGCAACAGTCGCGATCGCCTCACCCAGCAATACCCTATCACGTGCCTCTGTGACATTTCAAACGCCTTCATTAATCAAGGCTACAACATCACAAACTCAGAGCCAGCCTCAAACTCCAACTCCAACTCTAACTCAGACCCAAGCTCAAATTCAAACTCATACACAAATACAAACACACACTACACCCACAATGGCGCCCTACAGCGCGACTACCCGCAGCACTGGCAAATGGAGCGCGACGAAGAACCAACAACGCGGCATATTGAAGAGCCCGATTCCACCACCGCGTCCGCCGCCGCCATTTCATACAGCTCCTCCGCCATTACAGAAACGCAAAGTCTCTACCGTAGCTCCAACAAAAGTCGAACGAGTACAAAGTAAGAAAATTTAAGCTCCTTCATTTATTGTTTTTTTTTTACTTTTTATCACACATTAAATCATTTCAAATTCACTCAACTATTTTATGAACAATCAACCGTTTTATATATACGAGCAAATTTGTATATTTTTTATTTAACATAAAAAACTTAAGAAACAAAAACTTTCGTAGCTTAAATACTTACACTTTATCACTACAATTTTAACTTTTTTTTAATAATTTTTTATATACATGTAAAAAAAATGTGTGCTGTTAAAATGTTCGCTGCGGTAATTAAAGGGTTAAACCTGGTGTGAAGTGAACATATTACTTTTGGCACCCAATTAGTTGCCGCGTTTGGTTAGTTCCCAAACGACAGCGAACTTAGCAGTCCTCCTTTTTATGGGTCCGCTGTGCAGAACTGGAAATATTCAAACTAAATTATGATTTATAAAGTGCAGTCAAGTAATTTCGACCCCACGAAAGTTGACATTTTTGCACGAAAAGTATCCGTAATTATATACTTAAGGTTATCAGTGAGCAATTGCTCTACAAAGTTCATATAGGACTACGATTAAAATGTGAAGTAGTAATGAAATTTTATATACTTTATAATTATTTATTATAACAATTATTATTAATATAAACTTGTTTATGAAAGCAATTATAATATATTACAATATATTATATATTAAATTATATATGACAACACCCTATACGCAAACTTTTATCGCAGGAACTTAAAGCCGGCCATGTTCTAATATATTTTCGAGTAGCGAGTAGATGTAGTAATAATTACTAGTAATTTTGCAATATATTATTATCAGGCATTGGTTGGATAAACTTAACCACTATGTTATTTGGTGCAACAGCTGAAGAATTGTTCCACTTTATTTACTGGGACTTAAGATTTAACCCAATTAAAGCTTAAGTGATTTAAGGTTTACTTCATTTGACTAAAGCAATGATGTACAGTCTATGGATCGCATGGCTCTCACTATTTTTGAAATTCTAAATGGCTGCTTCATATGGTGCCTCTTATTTTAAATCAGATTTCTACATTAAAGAAAAAATCTTCTTAAATTATATGACTCAAGTGTAATATATATTTGATATGAAGTTATGGGAAACTCCTCAGTTGTATCACTTGAGTCTAAAAAAAATTTGTTTTTAAATTTAACTTTCAAAATCAATTATGACAAAAGAGAACTATTTTACTAATTCAAGGGTTTTTAAGAAATAGTAAATTACAGTAATAAACTCATATTTTTAATTAATTAATTTTTTAGCTGACCAAAAATTATATTTCAAATACTGCCAAGTAATCATCATCTTTTTAAATATTAGTTAGTTTTATAAATCCATATATACTTATTGTACTACAGGTGTCTGTCTGGTTTCAAAATAATATGTATTTTTTTATAATTGTTGTAAACCAAAAGACGAAGGCTACTTTCAAAAAAAAAGTACAAAAAAGTAAACCGAGATCACTTTTTGGCAAGTAATCGAAAAAGTATAATTCTTAGGTATTAATCAAAGTGTTAATCTGAATCAAATTTTCCATAACTTATATTACTATTTATAAACACAATTTTTTTATACATTGGAAGTGCTTATTACAACATTCTAACATGGTCTCCATGTAAACATTAATTTTTTCCAACAATCATATATCGGCCACTAATAGATTAACATGAGCTTAAACTGCATTATCATCTATAACTAATTTCGATTAGAATTTTATGGTAAAATTATTTCTAGTACAGCTTAAAGCTTTTACTCAAGAAATGATACGAATTTTCGCACAGAAATTAGGTCTTTTATTAAAAAATAAATAATTACGAATCAATCCTTTTAGGCCAATATCAAGTACTTAAAGGATCAAAAAGATCTTAAAAACTGGATATTGATCTGAGAGGATTAATGTTTATGACAGAATAATAATATTTTCTAAACGGAATTTTTATTTAAATAACATGAATATATACTGAAACCCTTAAGATGGAGAAAAGTGAGAAGTGTTCTCATATTGTATGTTCATTATACGTAAATTTATTTATTAATAAATTTTTTTTCGTATAGTCATATTATTCGATGACATTCGTTTTGTGATCAAATAAACAACCAATATTGGACTCATTTACTTAATATACTACAATCAGAAAAAAATGGCGATTCTCATAGTTAGAGCATAAAATTGCTTGGTGTTCCATAAAGAGACACTATACGGTTGATATAGTGTTTTCCCCTTAAAAAGTGTTTTTTCTTTTCTAAAGATAAACTGAACATAGCAAACTCTTTCCCATTTTTAAGATTGTTTTCTATAGCCATATGCTTCGATAAGTTATTACTTTTGACAGCACAGTGTTACTAATCCATCTAAATAAATTGTCTTTAAAAATTGGATCCATTTAATCATATATAATTTATAGATTAAATTATTGTGATTATTTGTAAGCTCAATTTTAATTTAGGTTAGTGTTTATAGAGCTGATTCACAGCTGTGTAAAATTATTGGTCCATTTCCCATACTCAAAAATATATAACATATGAAGCATACTGGTATGGTCTCAAAAAATTATGAAATTATGAAATTAGAAAATACTAGCTTAAGAAGCTTTCGAATTGAAAAAAAACATTTTAAAATTAATAATGAATATAAATTAATATAGATTAAAACATAAGAATTATAGAGTTGGAAGACTGATTAAAGAAATTAACAAAGCAAACTTATATAGGAGATATAGCTGAAATCATTCTAAATAGCATTTTAGGTCTGAAAATATGTCTCAATTATAAATAATAATAAATATTCAAATGCAAAAACTTCTAAGATATTTTCAACAGTACACATTTTTTTTCAATTTTTAAAATTTCTCTAATAATTTTTATATATATGTAATATAGCATAAAAATATTTGAAATGTATACTATCACAATCACAATCACAATTTTCATAGTTTATCTAAATGTTTTCTATAGTAATTATTTTAATTTTTATTTAAACTGTAAGTAATCCTAAACGATTCATCGTGCGAAGTACTCATTTAACAAATAATATCAAGTAAGAAATGTTTTCAACTTGTGTAAATATTTATAAATTACTGTAAATACATTTAATTCGTTCCGAAATTCTACTTATTTATTTGTTTATATAATGTTATTTTAATTAAAAATTTTTATTGATTTTTTATTGCTCGTATGTGTCTTGTATGTATCTTAAGTTCCTTGAGTTTATTTATTGACGAGTTTTATTAAAATTCTAAAAACCTCAACACCTGAATAGTTCTTCAAAAAAAGCATGATTTAAATTGTAATGTTTTTTACATATTTTTCAATTATTTGCATGTTTATTTGTGTATTACAATAATTTTTAAGAAGTTCAAAAAATTTATTAAATTATTTAAATTTTAACACTCTTAAGTGATTGATCAAAATTGTAGGAATTTTAAGTATTTTATTTTATTCAAGAGTTTTTGATTTTCATCATTTAATTACTACATAAGAAATTTCTCCAATTTAAGTAATTGTTTTTAATTTTGATTTAAATTGTTTCATTTTCTCGTTTATAATTTTAAGATTTATCCAATTGAAACCAAATGAAGCACAATAAATACATAAATATTTCGCTTAACGACAAGGATCTTCAAACATTACAAAAAAAAAATTCATATCCTGTTGCTTTATATACAAAAATATATTAAAAAGATTTTTATAGTTCAGGAAAATAATTATTTTTTATTTACTTAACGTTAACTGAAGACAACAATATAAATTATATATAATATTGAATAGCCCTTAAATCCTTCATTACAAAATAAAAGATAACAAAAGAATATACAGAGGCAAGTGACAAACCGATTGGCTGACATAACCTTTATATGGGTTCCTCTACATAGGAGTATAGAAGGGAACGAGAAAGCTGATAGTGAAACCTGCTTTGGTCCTTTCCTAAATGCATTTCTAGCGGTACCGATTTAGAAACCATCAGGAAAAGTTACCTCGGCTAAAGAATGTCAGTTTGCTAATAACAAATGAGAGACACTTAAGTCATGTGCAGATTAATATGGCTCACATATAACAAAAATAGATCTTGAAAACTTATCAAAACTGGTTGTTGGGAACACTGCAAAGCTCACTGCAGTTGTTTCTGGTCAATGGTGTAAAGGGACCCACGCAAAAAAACTGTGCTGTCCTCAAAATCTTTACTGCAGAAGTTGGAAGCCTGTAAGAAAAATAAATCATTAAACACTTGCTCTGTGAATATCACAAGAAATGAGTTTTTAGAAAGTTATTTCTTTGACTGCTTATCAGACTGTACATCGGTAAAAGACGAAAGACCTATTAAATACGAGGGAATGAATTTAATGTATATTCTTCTATATTATCTGATTGCCTGCCACTGCAATTAACCATACAATATTACAATACAATATTTTGTTCACATTAAATATATAAATATTTATTATTATTTTTTTAATAACAAATAAATATTATGAAATCTATTATTAAATGTTAAAAGTAAATAAATAATTTAATCAATTATAACTACTTTTTAATCGTATCTTGATACAATATATATAACATAATTACTGAAATACTATTAGGAAATAGTTGGTTATTTACTGTTTTTTATTAGTATAGAATTATAATGCTACTATACTATACTAGATAATTAGGAAAAGTAGAAACTACTTTTTATATAAAAACAAATTGGATCAAAAACAGGAATAAACCATTTCCAATATGACATTATAGAAAGTTTAAAGTAAAGAAAGTATATTCTTAAAGCTGTAATATAATAAATTATCATATATTGTTTCATTAATTCTTGCCCTTGAGTATTACTAAAACAAATTAGAAAAGATCTTCAAAAGCACACTTTGCACTTATATATATAATATTATTATTATAATTATATTTATAGGATATGTTAGTAATAAATTACATTTTAAAAAGCGCATCAATGGGATATGCATATTATTATACTAAGTGAATGTTGAACGATCTAAGGTCTTTGGTAATTTTGTTATAAAATGTTAAAATAAATATTATTTTATAAATATATTTATATTTTATATATTTTTATTTTTATTCTTTTTATCTAATTTCAATATTTTATTATTAAGTTTTCCGTCCCGAATATTGTAAAATAATTTATATATTTTTATATAAAATTTTTATATTCTTATTTATAAAATTTTTGTTTATATTATTTTTTTTTCTGTTTATTTGTAATCCCACAACAAAATTTGCTGCTCAACTCAAACAATATATAAAAAAAAAATAAATATTTAAAAATTATTCCAAAACACAAAACGTACGACAAAACTAAAATGATTACAACTCCAATGTAGTAAACGAAAAGTCATCTTCACTGGGGGATCCATTGACGGAACCTGGCGAGTATGAGAATCTACCATTTCATGGTCTGCAAACGGCTCCTAATAAGGTATATACAAATATTTTCTACTTATTTTTGCTGCTTATATTAATTTTAAAACAAAATATAAAACTAGTAGTTTTTTTAATCGTATTGTGTAAACATTGCTAATACTTTTCGTCACAGATATATTTTGTACGCACTCTCTTTCAGTATTTTTGAAATGAAACAATCACATAATCACAATCATCATCACTACACAAATAACTTCTCATTGCTCTCATACCTACATACAAAATATATATGCTTAAATAATCATTTCGTACTATCGCTGTGTTATCTTAAATCAACTTGTAACTCATATTTTACATATACAATATAAATATATATATATAACTTCATAACCTTCTTTTCTGGTATTTGTCATGTATAAAATGGTAACTCATACGCCATGTAGTACTTATGTCATTGTGTATTATTTAGAAAGTAAAAATTTGAGCAAATGCTAAAATGCTTTTATATATTGAAAATCTTCATTTCTCTTATTAAATATCATTTAAAAACATTTTTATTTCATTTATAAAAATATCAAGAATTTGATTTATTCTTCTGTTTGCATTTAAATTAGAAAAAACAATTAGAAAAATATATAATTTTTGCCATTTTTATGTATATATTCTATATTTTACCCAATAAATTGTTGTCGTTCTCTATGAAATTATGTAGTATTTTTCTTTGAGTTGTACATACAAAACATATTTATAATAAATTTATATACTTATTTAATAATTCGTATTTATTTCTACTTTAAGTGTATAATTTTTTTAATTTATTCTTCTTGTAGATTTTACTTTAGTATTTTATATGTAAGAAATTTTTTTTTTGTATTTTAATATATTACACTTCTATATTTATACAAACATTTCTTATTTTTAGTTTAATAATTAACCTTTAATTTCTTTATAATAATTATCACAATCAAAATATTTTCTACTTTTGGTTCTACAAGTAAGTTTTAAATATGATTTTAAAATTATTATATTCACTTAATTAACTAATGGTGATATATGTGACAGTTCAATAAAAATTTAAAAGAAATATATATATTCACGTATAATAAACATTTCTAGATATTTAGTTTAATTTTTCAGTTTAATAAGTTAATTAACTGATAAAATATAATATGCTAATACTCAACATGTTCAGTTTCAATTTCGTCATAAAGCAAAAATTAATTAATTAATTAACATTTAATTAATAAATAATAAAATTTTGTTGCTGTTATTTACTAGTGTTCAAAACATCTCTCTTCAAAAAAAGTTATTTTCATGTTTATCTCGTGTAAAACCAAGGCATTCATTATACTTAAACCAAAAGCGATTAAGTCAGAAGTAACCGTAACAAAATAGATTATTCTATAGACTGTTAGAAGTGGAGTACATGGACATTATAACCCTACAAAATTAATCTAATTCTTTCTAATGTAAATGAGGTACTTTCTCGAAATAAGATTGACATGTCGCTTTTGCGATGATATCCTAATGTCCATGTGGTATCCATAAGAGAACATTTTATTTCAAATATTATATATAATAAAATAAATATACACATATATGCACACATATATGTACCAGTGTAACTATCATTACATTCCTGAATCTTTTGTTGTCTCTAATGCATAATCTCTCTTTAACCTCTACATTATATTACAATCTGTCAAAATCTATTGTAAGAAATTCCAGAATTACTTTTATAATTGCATTTTCCAGCAACATAATTTTATGAGTCGACTACAGAATACACCATGAAGCTTAAGCAAATCGAAATCCTACACTTCTTCGTTAGTAAAATAGATGATTATGATACCCAATCCTTTGGATCATGCATATCTCGTTCTTTCACACCATATCTATAAATTTCTTAATACTTCAACACATTTGTAATAAAATTATGTTAAATATACGCCTAAATCTACTACCGATTTCATGTAGACTCTCCATTCCATTTCCTCAGGAGTATCTTTTGTATTAAAAATTATACAATTTTTATTTTAGTAAATACTAATAAAAAAGTCCTTTGCAAATAACTCCATTATGAAGCAAATAGTTATTTGGGAAAATAATTGTTACTGCAATTCTTATAGTTTTTGACCTTACTACCAATATTATTTTCAATATTTGCATCAGCTTTCATTGGGAAACGAAAAGAAATGATATTTATATATTAAAAAGAATACTTCAAAATAAGCAGTATATATTCCAGTCAAACTGTCAAGTTCTATAAAAAAGGCAAATCTCTCAAATCATATTTCTTAAAGTACCCAAACTATTTTTCTCAGGAAGTTCTGAAAATACTACATATTAAACATTGATTTTTTATTGTAAGGCAGCCCTCATATTTCAACCTAAAAGATATTTTACTCAATACTTAGTCGTATTCTACTTTTGGATATAAAAAATCGTATCGAGAGAAATCGAGAAAAGTATATTATTTATGAAAAATTTTCAATGAAAACTTATTTTTTTTTATAGATAATTAAATTTTAGTAAAAATTTTTTATATTTAGATATAAAAATATAATTATAATAATTTATATTAAATTGTCACATATATAAATTACTTATATAGCTGTAACTTTTTGTTCATCCTGATTTTGTATTTCTTTTATTACCATTTATATTAATATTTTATTTAATTAATTGTTTTCATGTCACTAACATTAAATTTTCTACTCTAAATGTTGTTACTGACACCAAAATTAAATTACACCACAAATTGTTTTAATATTTTGAGTAATAAATTTTGCCAAATAAAATTAAATTGCTTAACCCAAAAACTAACCCAAAATAAAACTTTAAATATATTTCTTTTTGGCTTCTGTTACGTGCTTCCGTTAAAACTACTAATAATACAAACAAAACAACAAAATGCCCGCAAACAACCACTAACACGATTCCAACAACAACTGGGAACACAGTTCTCTACGACTTCTACAAATTTTAATAACAACACAAATGTGGTGCGCGTCGCTCCACGACCCAAGAGACTAAATGGAAATATCAGCCAAGTAACGCATGTACAACATCAACAAGAATACTACGACCAAGAACAGCAGCTACAATATCAGCATCAGCATCAACAACAACAGCTTCAACATCAACATCAGCAACAACAACAACAACAACAGCAACAGTACAACACCATGCAATATGGACGCAATCAGCAACTGACGCAGACCATGAATTCTCAACACATAATGGGTAATGGCAACAATGCTAACAACAAAGCCATACACCATTTACAAGATGGAGCCACAACAGTTCCACACACAAACCCACATCAAATTACCTACAATTTAAATAATTGCTTCCCAAAAAGCTACACCGAGTATTACCATCAGCAACAGCAGCAGAAGTTTAATTCAAATTCAGCATCAAATGCACAACTATTGAACGCAATCGAACATGACTACCCCGCCTATGCGGTCGTAGAACGTAACACTGTCGCCAATAACTCGTTGGCAGCTAACACAAATCCCTTCCTGGCCATTACAAATTTTAAGAAATATGACACCGACATCAACGACGGTGCCGGCGGCGGCACGTACGCAACTGGAGCCGACGGTGCTATTATATCGGCAACAGGTTCCATGCATCGCAATAAGCGTAAACACCTGCTCGACAAATGTACCGAAGATAAGAAGTTTTATTCATTGAAATTTACCGGCGGCAAAAATAAGCACTCAGCAAACAAGCCGCCTACAGTATTCGGCTTAAATGCCTCCATGATTACTGGTTCCACCACGCCATCGACTGCAATGGGAAATGCGAAATGCAAACGACATCATTCCTTTGCTGGTGGTAGCATTGGCGATATTGATTCTCAAGGTTCGTCAGTGCAACAACAGCAGCAGCAGGCAATAGGCCATAACAGCTTATTGCCACCTATAGCTAAGTCCGCAATGCGTTTCTATGATCCGCCCGTATATGAGAATCTCAGCGATTCGGTACAAATACACGAGTGTGAGATAGAACCGCATCCGCAGCCCGGTAGTAGTAGCACAACCAATGCACAACACCAACAACAAAAATCTGGTACAACTGGCACTGCTACCGTTTTGCTGCATCCACAGCCAAATTCACATGCTGCTGGTCACACGAGCCAAAAGAAAAAACATCACCATCGCCAACACCAGCAAAAGGATGATTTCAATCTAATCGAACCAGAACGTTTGAGCATTTATCGCAGTGATTCAGGCATTTCCAATAGTTCATACGAAGCTGTAACGCCCTTGGCAGGTGGTAATACTGCACGCAACAACAATATCAACGGCACACCAGCACCCAAAACACCGAAGTCAGTTAAGTCCAATAAAAATAGTCTACCAAATGCTTTGCCGATGGGAAGTCAAAAGAAAACTACTCGTTTAGCTAGTAATGCAGCCACGCCGCTCTACATGAACGTTGATGGTCAGTCACAAACTCAATTGGAACGTGCCTCTTCACCTGTTTCAACATTGGTTAATTCTTCCTACGAATCGGCATCTTCATCGCAAAATGATGGCACTGGCGCTTGTTCAACTGATCCCACATCAATTTCGTCCTGCAATTCGCTGTACAGCAGTGGAACAGGCACCATTATTGGTGGCGGAATTGCTGTCAGCAGAACTACTGCGGCAGCAGCACGTTGCAATCGACATCAGAAACCTGCAGATATAACAACACCTGAAGAATTCGAGCAATATCAGTTAGGGCATCATGCACACTCCTCGTCATCTTTATCGGTGGCGAGCAATGCCAGTGCCAGTGGACGTAAATGCAAAAAGCGCGCAAATGTGATGAATGTAGGAGTAAGCGGAGCAGGATTAAATGAGGTTTGTATATGCTAATGCTTTGCATGCTTTAGTTTTTCTTTTTCTAAATAAATTTCACATTTAATTTTTTTAACAAAGAAAAATTTCTTTCAAACTAAGAAAAAATATATACACAATTATATATTTGCAAATGTATTTGCTATTAATGTGTATGTATTATACCGGTCAAATAGTAATAGTACATATACATAACTTCAACTCAACCAAGAATTTTGTTATATCTCCATCTAGAGAGATATATTTGGAACGGTTTTATTATACTCCGTGGCTGTAAGTACCCCTTAGGATGTAATATTATACCCTTTGCTCCTAAGTTCAGAGAGAAAACAAAATAAGAGAAATTTTTCTTCATACATATGTTTAAATGTTGATTTTTTTAACCCATAACTTACCATAAATTTTTATTATTTTCTTAATAAATTTATGTTTTTTTTCCTAATTTTATTTCATATTTTTCATTTGGTAACGTTTTTATTTGGATTTATGTTGCCAACACGCACAAATGCGTAACACACACAAACACTGAATCCCGCTTTTCATTTTGTCGTTGACGTTGCATGTTGCTTATATTAACTCAAACTTAAAACAGTCAACAATAGCAAATACTAATCCATTTCTAGCAACAAAATATACGACAAGCGCCCACACCTCCGCCCACGGGATTATCAACCTCGCGAAACTACGACGAAAGACTATCAGCGACCCCTACGCACATATCAAGTATATCACCGACAACAGCGTCAGCAACAGCGAAACATACAATTATTGCACCAAATCCGCGTACATTGCACAGACAGCAGCAGCAGCAACAGCAACATCAACATCAACAGCAACAACAACATCTAAATCACAACAACAGCAGCAACAGCAAATTAGCTTACAACAATGCAACATCAATAATGCCAACAATCTTATCTACCAACAGCACAACAAGCAATCTTATTACCAACAACGCAATCAACAACAAATGTTAATGCCAAACGAAGCTGCTGATGATGACAACAACAACAACAACAACGATGACGACAACGACGACGACGATGAAGTGCCATTGCAACAATGCGGATTAGGGCAAGCAAATGAGAAATTAAAATTGCCAACAAGGCAAAGGATATCAAACGTCATAAATATGCAAACATATGCAGTAACAAAACTAAATGAACAACATGAACAACAGGAACAACAACTAACAACAAAACTACCAACAACGGCAGCAATTGATGCAACTATTGATGTTGCAAGTGATGATGTCACCGCTGTTGATACAAATGCAGCTGTTGCAGCTGGATTTGTGGGGCGACCAATAAGATTGCCACTACGAAAATATCACAGCTTTCATTTTCAGCCATCGCAGACAGTTGCTGGCATACGACTTTGCAAATTGCAGCAATTACGTATGGAAATGCAGTATCAACAACAACTGCACGAACTGCAGCTGCAATTGCAACAACAGCAGAAACAACATCAATTGGAACAACAGTTGCTGAGAATGTATGTACCACCAGTTAAACCACCAAAACATTTTGCCCATCTGGGCCCACTGGTGTTTCAGCCATTCACACTGAACGAGAACCGCGCCTTCAAACCTATATCACCGGTAACAGGAAATGCTACTGCATGTACTGACACAACTGCAGCAACAGAAGCAGCGACAATAGTCGTCAGTGATGAAGTACAAGCAAATAAATTAAATGCAAACATAGACACAAACTACTCCGTTGGCGATAGCATCGTTGATGATGTTGAGTATACCAGCAAGTTGGACGAAAATAAAGTCAATACCGTGCAAGAAGTAGAAGAAGTGGAAGAAACAGAAGTCGATGAAGAAAAATTTGAAATGAGCGAAGAATTTTCCGATGAAATTAAGCGTATAACGAACGTTGCAGACAACGCCAACAATTTGTACGCATACACTGCAAATCGCCGTAATCCTGCTGCATCCTTGGAAGCTTTAGAAGCATTAACCAAATGTGATCCAGCATTCATAAACGCCAGCAGACCAGGAAATCGTCAAAATTTACATACACAAATACCATTTGCTGCCAGAGACGAAAGCACCACACCACAATTGTTAGCCAAGCTGCGTACACAACTGGAAGGAAGCCAAAATGCGGGTATGACAAGTGCATGTCAAACAAGTACTGCGACTGCTGATGCAATAGCTGAAGACGACGATGAAGACTTAGGTTACTCTTACTGCGAGGAAGTTGTAACAGATGATGACGATGAAACACTTACAGGAGACTCATCGCCGAATCCAACAATCATACTAAGCGCGGATAGAAACGGCGGCGGGCAGGTTAAGTATATAATGCAGCATAGTTCGCGAGAAGTGCACATTTAACACCGAAAAATGTTAAACTCTCGAATCTTAAAGTAAGTAGCCACGGCTCCAAAGCCAACACAAGTTGGCTTGCATGCAAAACAAAAGACAAGGTATTTAGCAACTAAACAAAATTTTTAGTAATCACTTAATATATTTATGTATGAAAAGTATTGTGAAGATATTAAGAGAGCGAAGTTAGTAGCTTAGAGTAGTGATAAGCATAAGTTTAAGTGTAAAAATAGGTTAGATAAAGCAAACCAAAACTTCAAATAAAGTTAAATAACACAAAAAAAAAGCAACAAATGCAAACCAAATGACTTTCCAAAAGACAAAAATTAAATTAAAATTAATTACTATAAAAAAATATATTTATATGTAAAATAAGTATTAAAAAAAAAATTTACTAAATATAGCAAGTAAGAGAAAAAAAATTAAAAATACATACCAAAAATTAAATTTAAAATTTATTTAAAAATTAAAACAAAAATAAAATTATTAAATTATATACTTATAAGCGAAATTCAAAAAGAAGAAAAAAACAAAAAATATTATTAAACAATGCCACGAGCTCACGCCCCTTAAGTAGGCTATTATTAGGCATTATAAGTTATGTATTTAAAGTTAAAGTATATAGAATTAATATAGAAATGACTGTATTTGTGAGTTAAGTTTGTTAAAATATATTATGTATTTTATATGGAAGTTAAAATTTGATTTCATTATGGTGAAAAAAAAAAAAATAAATATACAAGTAACTACTTATGTAATAGTTTAAATATGTATAGAAGTATTTAAATCACTTTTTAATAAACTCGTACTCAAAATACACGTATGAGTAAAATTTATGTAAATGTGTAAAAGTAGGAATTTATATGTATTCAATATCATACATGCATTTAATATAAAATGATGCATTCTAATTAAATATTAAACTCAAATTTATTGAACAATTTAAATTTACATTTTACTTTTACTTTTGTATATAGAAATTTAAAATATTTTTAATCTGCAATATTTTATTACTTAAATATTTAAGTTTAAGCAAACGAGCATAAGTGAAGGTAACCACATATTATTTGGTAAATTATTATATAAATATACTAATTAAATTAAATATTGTTTATGAATTTCGTATATTTATTTATAAAGTTTAAGTGTAAACAAATTTAAAATATATCTGCCCAATTATATTTAAGTTATTTACAATATTTATTTGTATGCCATTAGTTTAATTTATTTATTTTTTTATTAATTAAATAAAATTCAGAAAATTTTACATAAAAATACTTTTAAATAAAGTGTGCGAAAAATTAAGTATTCAAATAATATTTAAAATTTTTTAATAATTTTATTATTTAAATTTATCTCATCATAACCTTAAGTTTTGATTGGTTCGAGTGCTGCAGCAATTTGTCTTTTACCCTAGAAACTTATCATCCTCATTAACAATGGCACTGTTAGACGTCGGCATAGTCGGCGACCGCTGTCCACTTAGGGCCTAAGAAAGACCATTAACGACCATTTTTCCCAAAATAAACTAAATTCTTAATATAAAAGTACTTCTTGAATAAAAATTTTAAGTTTATTTTCCTTATTTCCTTAGTTCCTTATTTTTTGTTTACTTTAAAATTAATTTCCATTCAAAACTCACAAATAAATAAATAGTAAATAATAAATAAATTTTATTTTATTCGAGAATTTATTACAATTTTTCTTAATTAAAAACTCTCATTTCATTTCTTTAGGTTGAAGGATCTAGCAATCCAGTTCCTCATTCTTAGTTAACTTTACTATTAATTTTAATATTAACTCACAAATAAATAAATAAAAATAATAAATAAATAAATAATAAATACTAAATAAATAAATAAATAAATTTTATTTTAATCATGAAGTTATTATTAATTTTAATTTATTAAAAAATTTTCATTTCCTTAGGTCGAAGGATCTAGCAGTCCAGTTCCTTATTCTTTGTTAACTTTAATATTAATTTTAATGTTAACTCAAAAATAAATAAATAAAAATAATAAATAAATAAATAATAAATACTGAATAAATAAATAAATTTTATTTGAATCGAGAATTAATTATTAATTATTATTAATTAAAAACTTTCATTTCAATTCTTTAGGGCGAAGGACCTAGCAGTCCAGCCCCTTATTCTTAGTTAACTCTAAAATTAATTTTAATGTTAACTCAAAAATAAATAAATAAATAAATAAATAAATTTTATTTAATCCGGATTAATTTGTAATAAACTAAAAACATCCCTGCAAACATTTTATTTATAAATTTTGGACACCACCAATAAGAATTAAACTGTAGTTATAATATGAAAATTTGTATTTGAGATTTGACTCTCTGCATAACAGAACCTTAGGCACGTTTTAGAAATTCTTTTCAAATAATTCAACTGCTAGACTTTGGGTGAATAGTTTCAAATTTTTTTAAATTAAAATTGATGTGAAATATTTAATATGAATATATTTTCCTTTCCGAAGTAAGTAATTTTAAATAGTAATTGCTTTATTACACAAAGAAAGGATTAAAAATTATATGCCATTTTTTGACACCCATTTTTTTTTGTTTAGTCATTAAGATTTTATTAAAAACATTATTAATCATATATATAAAAATGGCAAAATATAAGGGCGGTGGAACTATATAGACACCTAATTTATTTTATTTAGTCATTATTGATCTATTAAAAAAATGATTAATTTTATATATAAAAATGGCAAAATATAATGGAGTCTAAACTATACATTAAATAAGTGCAACTAATTTTTTTTCAATTTTTTTTCAAATAGGACATCTTTAATTAGTAAATCAACAGTTAATAACAAATAAATTTCATAAAGTGCGTCAAAAAAAAAAAAAATACACACACATTTATTTAATGCAAAGCATATATTTTAATAATTTTTCAACTAAAATAAAACTATTTTTAAATAAGTTGAATTAAAAAAAAAAATAAAAAAAACAAAGAAAACATATAGTTTATACATTTTTAATGTTTTTATAGAGCGTTTCCGACTTCGAGGATCCATACAGAGGCAGTAATACGTACATTTTCTGAAAACAAAAATCCTCACATACTTGTATCTATCAGTTATACAAAATATATTTCTGAAATAAATTTTAAATATTTTATCCTTTTCACAAAAAGGTAATAAATAAATATTGCCAATTTAAAAAAAAAATTAAAATGCAATTAAAAGCTTGAAAAAAAGTTGCTTTCATTTTGTATGCAACAAAAATTAAAAGTGAAAATCTTTTAATTGAAAAATGTAAAGAATTTTTTTTAGGAATGTTAATAATTTATTAATAAATTACTGTCGTATGCTGTGATTCTTTTTTTTTTGTTCGTGCAATAACTGAAAAAATTTATAAATATTAAATTAAATTAAAAATCAAATTCTTGATAAAAACAAAAAACGCTGCATTCGTTATTCGTCTGTATAGATTCTTATCATTTGATTGTCGTTTTGTTGTTCTACGTTTATACCCAGTTTTATAATAATTTAATTTAATTGCTATCGTAATTAATCACTCTTTTTGTTATTCTAATTTTAATTATGCCGCAATAAAGTTAAAGAATAATTAAAGCAACACTTTTACGCGTTCAGGACCCATAACAGCACGACAGAATAATAAATTATTAACTTGCATGTCTTAAGAGGAAATTAATGCGCGAAAATTGTTTAATAAAAGGCTTCTCTAACCAACAAACTTCCTCCAGGGCTTCAGGAAAGTTTACTACTAATAGAAAATTGCTTAATAATTAAGTGAAGTTAATTTAATTAATGCTTTATGTTTATGCTTTAAAGAAGTTCAATTTAACTTAACCATTTTTAAAAACAAAAAAAAAACGTAATAATTTATTAGAGTCAAATAACTGACTCTAATATGCAGTAGACGTCCAATTTAACGAATGATTTCCTGCAGAGGTGTTTCGTTAAATCGAAAAATTCGTTAAATGATATAAATGTATTAGACAAATATATAGGTATAATCTTCAGTTGTTATTATTAAAAAAAAATTAAATTCGACAATTTCTTGATGATTTAATTAATTTATTATATACTGCCGATCAGACACTTTATTCTCTATAGGCCATATAGAAAGGTGATGTTGCACAGCATAATTTTGTAGGCATTTTAGGTGAAAGATTCCTCTTCAGTTACATTTCTTTCAATAGTTGTTCACCAACTTTACTAGTAGGCTCTACGTTGATCCATAATTTAAAATGTGTCTTAAAAAATACATACATTATAGTTCTAACGCTTGTCATTAATTTTAAGTTCACAAGAACGATTTGGGTTAAAGCATTTCGCTTCGAGAGATCTCAGAGATCTGATAGCCAGCATTTTGCTTATATTTTATTTTATTGTATTATACTTAATTATATTTTATTCAATTATATTCTATTTAATTATATTCTATTATATTGTGTGCTGTACTATTATATTCAATTCTGTTACCAATTCCAAGAAAATTCTTACCAGAAAACAAATGATTTAATCTGAGAACTTTTAAAACCCTAACTGTCAAATTTCGAGTTTTATTCGACAACAACATTGAAATGATCGGATGAACAACATTGAAATGATGCGTAATAGCAGAACAACATCTCCTCACAATTCTCCATTTAGAATTAATGTATCAATTTATAGGCTATAAGCTTGCTTTCGATTTCAAGTCACTTTATATGGTAACTCTCAAAGTAAAATCTTTTACCTATTTATCTATCAGAGTCTATTTTGACATAACTCCACTTTAATTTGGTGTCATTTTGTATGGCAGTCCCTAAGTAAGGTCGGTCTTTTATTATCTTATTACTTAATGTCATTTCGTATGGGATAAACTAAGGGGCTTATACTCTTATTACCTGATGTCATTTTGTATGGGATGTAATAAGGTATTGTATTATCTTATTACCTGTTGAATATTCTAGAGTGTATTCAACCCAACAACTTCATTGGCATTTATAAACTGGTTTTTTATTTAAAACAGATTTGACTCTGATTTGACATCTCCTTATATAAGAGCTCAGTAAGAAAGAACTTTAAACTATCTAATATCTGGCAGGACTTTTAAAGTCTACTTAGTATATCGGCTTAAAAAAAAATGCACTTATATAGTTTCGAACTTCCTCGTAGGCATTCATAAAACTACTATCTAATTTGTATCAGACCCAACTTCAATTTGCCGCAACTTACATCAGCGGCTTAAGAATTTTTTGATACCAACAAAAAGTATATCTGAAGAAGTGAATACTAGTTCATAAGAATCTGACAGACTTACTAACACCGCGTTATCAAATCTCAGAATGGCTACGGGAACCTCGGGGAGATATGCAGATCTGAGGTCAATTATTGCTTAGTCTAATGAAGTGATAAACAATAATCCAGTCAAGGCGCAAAGAGGGGTTTTGTAGAAACATCGCAGTTAATAGAGAGTAAAAGTGATCAAGTGCACTGACACAACTCAACTAGCCTCAACATAAAAGAATCTAAAATTGACTAGAACGGACAGTGTGAAGATGTTTAAAAATAAATATTACTTAAAAAAAAGACAAGGCAACTTTTGTATTTAATATACAGGGTGTTTCATACTAACTTCCTTTAGTTTTGCCAAGTGATTTCCTTCAATTTGCAAAAAAAGAATATTATTATTAAAAGTAGGAAAGGTTTCATTACCAGTATTCATTGAAATACAGAATTGATGAATCAATGATTTCATATAGTCAAAAGAAACTCCATTTGAGAGAAAAGATTAATATTAAAGTTAAAAAATCCTTAATATTTCTAAGATGACTTATTCAAATAACTTAATTAGTCAATAATAAATTTTTCAGTTTATTAACCTGGACATACGTGAAGCTTGATATTCGTTAAGTTTGCCATTCGTTATATTGGATAATCGTTATATTGGAGATCTACTGTAATATTATTATACAATAATTATATTTTAAATTAAATATTTTAAATTTTGAAGTTTTAAAAATTATGCAGTGATACTAAAATAAGCAAACTTCACAGCTGCTAGCATCATTCACCTACTAACGTAATAATGAAATTAAATCTAGTTTCATTGAGTTCATTACTGAAATCAGCTTGGTCCTCAGTTCTAAACAATCAGTATTTTTATTATATATTAATTTTATTAAATTTCTATTTAGCCTTTGGGTGCAGCAAACTTTGATGATGAACTGATTTATGCCGATCTCGAAAGTCAGCACTACGGTCCAATTAATTATAAAGCAGCTTCTATCTATGCACAAGTCAAGAAAAACAAGCAAAGTGGCGCTTTAGTAGAAACCAAAAATTAAACTTAAATCTATCAAGTTTAGTTAGTTTAATCGAATACCACCAAACTTACCACTAGTCAAGCTTGTGTAAAATAGTGGGAAAATATTTAAATCGTGCATTTCAAAATATTTTTATAAGTTAGATGCCTTTGACAAAATTGAGCAACAGTTTAGTCCCAGTCAAGGAATTACTGGAACTAATCATTTTTATGCTATAATTTTTTTTCAATAAATTTTTAATTATTTTACAATTCATTTAAATTTCTTAATTAGTTTAACTAACTAATTGGAAATGAAATTGTTTAAAAATAGAATAACAAATTTTATACTAAAAAATTTTTCAAAAATTCTAAAATACTATAATTTAGCTATTAATATATTGAGTTTAAAAATATACATACATATATACAGAATAAGTAAAATGCAGTAAATTTATATCAGCACAATTTGCACATTTTGTAAAATAAAAGCCAAAATATTTTATAGTAAAACCAACACATAAACTCATAATCACCAAACTTCCTCACAAATTGCAACAAAAATGAAATAAATTAAAACCACAAACCCAAAATATTTTCAATACACGAAATTCAAATTGAAACTAAAAACTGAAAATAATTAGTGAATAAATAAATATTAGTGTAAAATATTAAACAATTTTTAATAATTTAAAAAAAATTTTCTACTTAACCAAACGACATAACTAGCAGCAAATATTGTATTTATAATAAAATACAAATGAACTACAAATTAATATTACTATTCTACTATTTAAAAATATTACTAAATAAAAGATGAAACTAAAACATGAATATGTAAAAATAAATAAAACTAATATAATTGAATTATTTTAGTTAATTTAAAAAAGAATTAATAATATTTTAACACAAATATATGTAACGAAAACTGTACTCAAACCAAAAACTAATTTAAAAAAAATATTAAATATTTTTTTGTAAATGTCATTTATAATTTTATTTACTCAAATAAGTAATAAAAATTGCTTAATAATTAATTTCAGAAATCAATAAAATTAATAAAAAAAATCTTAAGAACATTTTTTTTAATAACGAATATTCAAGAAAATAATAAGAACATAAAACATTAAAAAATTCTTTCTTTTTTTTAAATATAATTTTTTTTAAAATAATTTATTAAAAATATTTTTTTTAAAAATAATCTTTTTAAAAATAATTTTTTTGAAAATAATTTTTTCGAAAACAATTTTTTTTAAATAATTTTATTTAACGAGAATTTAACTTTATTATGGGCTTAATATTTTTTTTAATAATCAGAATTTCCTTTAGGATCTGAATTTTTTATTAAACCTTTGTAAAGAATTTGAGTTTATATATTAAAATTTTAAACTATCAATTACTACATTTTTTTTAAATTCTTTTAATAAAACAAAACTTTATGAAAGAATTATTTGTTTTTTTATAAGACTTTTTAAAGAAATTTAAATTTTTATCAAATTTAAAAATTGTAGTAAGAACTAAATATTTTTTATTAAACCTCAAAGTTAAAATAAAAATTTATTTTATCTTTTTAAAATTTTGATATTAAAAATTTTAATTTATTTTATTCATTTAATTTAAAAAATATAAAAATTTAAAGACTAAATTTACTTATACTAAAATAAATCTTTATTTTATTAAAACATTTGATAAAAAAAATTTTTACTTATTATAATTTCTATTTTTTTATTTAAAATAAATAAAGATCTATTTATACTTAAAAATTTTTAATTGAAATTTATACTTATTTAAATTTATTTATATTTAAATAAATCTTTATTTATTAAAACTAAAATCTTTATTAAGAATTTAATTTTTTCACACCAAATGATTACTAAAAATAAGTTTTATTTAAAACTTAAAACTTTAATAAGAATGTAATTTCTTTTATTATTTTTTTAATTTTTAAATTCAATTTTATTTTATTTTTGTGTTAAAATATAAAACTTTGGTGAAAATTTAATATGTTTTTTTACTCCAAAAAAATTTTAAGAATGTAACAATGTTATATATTTACATTGTATTTCAGCTAACTCACTTTTATGTAAATAGCTCTAATATATAGAAATATTGAATAAAAAACTAATATTTATATATATATAAACTTTATTAAATTGACTCTGAATGTAGCATAAAATGTATATTTTTAACCTTGTAAAAAACAGCAGTTGCTTGCAAAATAACTCAAAATAAAAAAGTAAATAAAATTATTAAGATAAAAATGATAAATTATTAATAAAAAAATAAGAAAAGAAAATTATTATAAGCTCATATGACATTTATTTGATATTTATGTTAATAAAGGAAAAACAACTAAATCAAATAATCATATGCAATTCATGAATTTAATTTGTTACAAAAATAAAATATTTATATAATATTAAAAATATTAATTGATATTAAATTGATAAATGAAGTAAATTTAGACTCAACTATACATAAAGAAAAAATTGTTTAATTTCAATTTATTTAAATAAAATAAAATAAATAAAAGAAAAGAAATAAATTTAAAAAGGAGTTTTAATTAATTTTTGAATAACTAGGGAGTTGCCATATGAAAAATTTGTCATAAACAATTAGTATTTTTCTTGTTTTTGCTGTGTTGGTCTATTTTAGAGTAAGTCTTAACTATTTTATGCATACCTAAGATATTATTTACAGTACTTATGCTAAGTACATGATGTGATAAAATTTTGATTTTATCCTTTGTAGAAACATAAGGTAGTATACCCAAAATAAGGTTGATGCCAGAGAAAAGAGAGTTTCACTAAACGCGACTCTATGGATCTGTCGCCAACTCTACTATCCAGATGCTACAAGTTGCTCAAAGTCACGCTGCCCGAAGACTCTTCAAAATGCCAAGGTAAATCCGCAAGAAGACGGATGTACCGAAGACTCTTTAAAGTGCCGTGTTACATCCGAACGAATGACATGCTAAGAGTTCTTAGAATAGACGTGATCAAAAGATACATAACGGACAGAGCCTTGAAGCTATTCGCGAACCCTGTTAGGCTACCCTACTAAGCACTATCTAATCTCAGAATACTCACTAGCCATACGGGACGGTACACAGATCTTTGATTAATCATCGAATAACTATGAAGCTTTTGAGGAATACATAAATTAGTCAGCGAGAAAGGTGGGACTCTGCAGAAATGTGCCAGCTATCACAGAGTAAAAGTGCTCAGATACACTAACTCAGAAGAGGCTCAATATGAACTATGATGATGTTTGAAAAATGCAAAATCTTTTGAAAAATTCGAAAACAAGCTCAGATACTTTCCTGATATTTATAAAGTTTTGAAACTGATATAATGTCATGATATAAAATTTCAAACTGTCACAATACCACTCTTAAACTTAATTAATAGCTCAGAATGTTTTGACATTAGCAAGAGATCACCTACAGGTTTGAGTCTGTGTTACCGATTTTCCACAAAAAAGCTTTTAATACTACCAATAAGACATATGAATATAAGGAATGACTTTGTGCTACCGATAGGTTCTGGAACTACCAATGCGCCAAACCAATTTCAGAAATAAAATTAACGCAAACGAGGCAGATTATAGTACTCCCAATAAGCCAAGCCAATTGCGTGGAAATGTCTGTGCTACTGATTGGAAACATAGGTTAGGATTCATGTGAATATAGAATGATGGAGATATATCATGAAATTTTGTGGAATGATAAATCAATATTTGTTTGTTTATAACATGTCAGTGCACCTATCCTAATACTGTCAAAATATAATGATTTTTTATTGAGTCCAAATGGTGTATAGTAGCCACTTCAAAAATATGTGTTAAGACAAAATAAAATATTCTAGATAAGAAGGACTGAGGGATTGAAAAAGCTGATATGTTTACAGAAAGTTTTGAGTTAGTAAATATTTTTAGTAAATATAACCCACTTACAATAAAACTAGATCCTGTGAACTTATCAAAACAGACCGCGTGAACACTGCAAGATTTACTGGAGCTCTTTCTGGTCATTGATGTATAGGAAATCGCACAAAGAAACTGCGTATTCCTCAAAATTCTCACTGCAGAAGGCAGAGAAAAAAAACCATCAAACACTTTCTCTGCTAATACACGACTTTCGCGTCCAAAAGGAATAGGTTTTTAAGAAGATGCTTCTTTAATAGTTTATCAAACGATTCATCAGTGAATACAACAGACTTACTAAATTATCTAAATACAACGAGTTGGATTGATATTCTTATCTTAATGGTTCTTGCCAGAAATGTGGTAGCAAAACAGCGAAAAATCGCTAAATGAGTTACATGGAAGTTCTCTAATGACCTGCCACTGCAACCAACCAAGTACTTTGAGAAGATGCTTATATTAATAAAGGTTATATGAATAAATAAATGTTAACAATTTTTAATGTAACTTTTGCAATATTCCTTGCAATATTCTAATTATCATTTGACTTAGATGGTATATATTTGCAATTAATTATACACATCTAAAGATTTAATTAAAAAGTTTCTGTACTTCATTTAATGCTTAATATGACAAAATTCAATTTTTAAATTTTAATCAATTTTCAATTGAAAAATTGACGTACATAAATTTGAAGTAGAAATCACTACTTGAAGCCTTGTACTTCACAGTCCACAATTCATAACAGAGACTGTCAAATTCATACCTTGAACCTAACATTTTCTCTAGTCTTGCTCACTTCGCACATTTATCACTCAATTGTCTTATTGTCTACATGAAAAGCTTCATGAATTCTCCATGATTGAGTGCTTTGCTTATGCTGAAGTCCCTAATCAACAATAAACAACACACTGTACGGGGAGTGTGGGGGAACACACTAAATTGACTAAAACTTGTTAAAAGAACATAAACTTCGACACAAAAACATAGGGGAAAAACATAAAAAAAAATTGAACTGGCCAAGTGAATTTAGTTAGGAACTTAAATTTTAAATTTTCTCTTGAATAATAAAAAATTTTTTAATTTAAAAATTAAGTCAAAATGGAATGAAAATAAATTTTTAATCCTTTTTTAATATTTGTTTCGACTATTTAAATAAAAGGAAGTCAATTGTGTTTTAAACCGCATTTGCATCTGCACGTTGCGAAGTATAAAATTTAATCAGGACACTGAAAATTTGTTTAGTTTAATTTCAAAAGTAAAAGCAATTATTCCGTTTGTCCTTAATGGAGGACACGTCCATGTGAAAATATTTAACATTTATTTATATTTACCGTATT